TAGCTTTTGAGTTAAGCGATTTCATACATATGAAATCGTTATAAGTAGGTATATATCGTTATAATCGTTTATAAAAACATGCTCTTTTAATATATCGGGGAAAAAGTTTCTCCGAATTTTGTTTGTATAAAATTAAAGAAAAATCTCTTTAGTTGTACTGCTTGTCTGTCTGGTTTTAATATCAATACATATAGGATATTAAGAAAAAGAAAAACAAAAAGTAAAAAACACTGTCCCGCCATTTTTCAATTGTTTTTCTGACCGCCAAAATGAATGAAGCTTACGAAGAAATTCGATACATTGTGAAGTTTTATGTAGAAAAGGGAAAAATGCGAATCAACCCGCGAAAAACATTTGTGACGTTTGAGTTAAACGAAATATTATTACCTCTTCATTATCCGGAGAATAAGAGGATTGTGAAAGACTCCCTTCACCGATGCTCGTGTCAGTTAGAGGTAATAAAACCACAACATACAATTTGCAAATATTAAATAATTTTTTTAATGTTCAAGATTTAAAAAAAAAAGTTATTTCTTTACGTTTGAATACTGACTATGATAACGCACTTAAAGGTAACCACAAGGTTTTTGTTACACGTTGTATATCTTTACTTTAAATGAGCAATTCTTGTATATGATATACATATAGGCATATGTTTATATATAAAATATGTAATTGGTTTCTCGGAAACGGCTCTAAAGGGTTTGGATGAAATAGTCAAGTACTTTTCTCAACAGTTGCCCAGCGGTCGAATTTCGACCGTAATTTATAAAAAATTGATGTTTGTATATCAGAGCAAGCTTTATTTCACTGTCAAGTACACATTAAAATATAGAATTTGGATATCTATCACGCAAAATATTAAAGAAAGGCATTTTTGTCATAACATACACTCCACAAAGCATTAAAAAAAGGAACATTTGAAAACACGAAATTCACAGCCCGTTTAGTCAATTTGTTATTAATTATACGTGGTAGAGGCATGCTGCAGCTATATTAGTAGTATAGTTGTAGCGCGAATGGGTCGGCTCGACCGGGGAAGGACCAGGCTCACACAGAATACCAGCGGAAAACAGCTTAACACTGCTATGTTTCGTATGGTGAGTGTAGAGAACCAGAGACCCTTTCTACTGGAAAAGAGGCATTCTATCTTAGTCCTCACGGGTGACAACGCATCTGCATTTTAATTCTTAGTTAAAGATAAATGTAAATCTATGTCTATGGGCCACAGCAACCGCTTACCAACCGTTGGGATTGGGCATAAAAGAGTGGCAAAGATATTTTCACAAGGAATTTTACAAAACCCCAAACATCCACTGCATGCCTAGTTGTTCTTTATTTGAAGCCTAAGGATGATGTTTCCGACGTAAAAACAGAACTCCGGTAAAAAAATAGTAGGACACACGCTATTTCGACACTATCTAACTAGCTACCTCAAACAATTTCTTGTTTTCTAGGACCGTACATGTATAATAAAGTAAATAATATCCTAAATTTCTATCCTTTACCTAAATCTAGTTGTAAATTCGTTCTAAAAAAATATCTGAAAACTTCAGACTATGAATCGACCGAAAACCTATTAAAGTCGCCTATATAATAAATAGTAATGTCGCTCAGCCATGAACTCCCTAAATTCCCGCATCTTTTCCTCATTTTGCTTTAAAATACAATTATGTGTATGATAATCCTCACTCACGCACACACGCGCCCGCATTAAACGTGGTAGAGCCATGCTGCAGGTGTATTAGTAGTATAGTTGTAGCACAAATGGGTCGGCTCGACCGAGGAAGGACCACGCTCTCACAGAATAACAGCGTAAAATAGCAGCTTAACACTACTGTGTTTCGTATGGTGAATGTAGAGAACCGGAGACCCTTTTTACTGGAAAAGAGGCATTCCATCTTAGTTCTCACGGGTGATAACGCATCTGCATTTTAATTCGCAAATGAGGATAGATATAGATGTCTATGGGCCACAGCAACCACTTACCATCAGGTGGACTGTGTGCTCGTTTGTCACCCTATCCAATAAAAAAAACATTAACTCACACACACTTACACTATCACATACACACATAGGCATGCACGCACACACACACACACGCGCGCGCGTGCACACACACACACACACACACACACACACACACACACACACACACACACACACACACGAACGCACGCACGCACTCGTGTACGAACGCACGCACGCACTCATGTACTCACGCACGCACGCACACACACAAGCACGCACACACACAAGCACGCACGTACGTTAACACGCACGCACGCAAGCATGCTGCCACGCTGGCACCCACGCACGCACGTACTCACGCACACAAGCACTCACGCACACAAGCACGCACGCACACAAGCACGCACGCACACCAGTACGGATATACGCACGCACGCACGCACGCACACACGTAGGCATGCACGTAGACACGCACGTACTCACGCACGCAGGCAAGCACGCACGCACGTACGCACGCACACAAGCACGCATGCACGCACACAAGCACGCACGCACGCACACATGTACGCACGCACAAACTCGCACGTGTCCTATAAACTCTATACATAGTACATACACCCATTGATGTGTAATCTGCAATTACTGCAGTTAATTTTGTTTATTTACATAATTATAATCTCCTTTTTTTGGTTTGTATTACTCAGATTGTTACTCTAGCCGCGAGGGAGTCCTGGTGATCTGTAATACAGGTTTTTATACTTACATCAGGCACCAGTCTCTCACAAGTTAGGTACCAGTCTGACAATTTTGTAATACTTAGCATTAAGTTTACCTATTGTGAAAATCACAATTGTGCTCAGACGAGACACTTCTCCGACAATATGGAGCTCCAACACCATACAACTGAGACATTACGTTACTCCAATATATGTTAACTTCCACAACACGTAACACGTGAATTATGAAATTTGGATATCTAACACACAAAATATTAAAGAAACTCATTTTTGTCTTAACCCTTAAAACACCATTATTATTACGAAATATAGACACTTTCTGGATCAAATTGTGACTGAATGGCTGGGTTAAAAACTGACGTAAGGTTGACTGTAGCTATCGACACGTTTTGGTAAACTCATGTCTATTGTTTTGTATTGTTGAAGTTCATATTTGTCGAAGTAACGTACCACAGAATTATTACCCAGTAATTCTATGTAACGTACTTAATGTCGGAGCTGTATAGTATCAGAGCTGCATATTTGGCGAAATGTCCTGTCTGAGTTCCATGGAGGTATCAATTTTGTTCAGCACCCGCTAAACTTATTTTAAACTATCGCTGTCTTTTACTGCAAGTGAAAACAAGAAAGAAAGAAGGAAATTAATTTACGTAATGCATTTCAACGTGCTTTTAGTCGACGTGTCGTTTAAAATTGAACGTGGTTATGGAAAAAGGTTCCAACCCGAATTTGTGTCAAAAATGTTGATTTGAAAAATAATGTTTGTGGTCTATACTATTATGTGATGTAACAATTTTACCAAACGTAACACAAATAAGAAGAAAAATTACAAGCAGACAGAAACCATACCGATAATTTAAGTTTATGATATTTGAAGTATGGATACTTCAAATATCATAAACTCAAATTAACTTATCGCAGGTTGGATCCTTTTTGCATAACTACGTCCAATTGATCGGGGATTTTAGTTTCACTAATTTGACCACAGTAAAATTATTGCTATCTCTTTCTTGTTCTAAGCGTAAGTACCTAAATGATAGTAATGAGTTTAGTGCGTATTTAACTAAATCGACACTAGTGTCGAAATAGCGTGTCATCATTCATCATCATTACAGCCCTTCACAAGTCCACTGCTGAGCATAGGCCACCCCAAGGAATGCCACAAAGCACGGTCCTGAGCCACCTGCATCCATCGACTTCCTGCATGTCTCACCAGGTCGTCACGCCATCTAGTGGGGGATTGCCCTACACTTTACCTACCGGTACGAGACTGCCACTCGAGAACCTTTCTTCCCCATCGGTTGTCGGTTCTTCGAGCTATATGGCCGTCCCACTGCCACTTCAACTTACTAATCCGTTGGGCTATGTCGGTTACTCTGGTTCTACTGCGGATATCCTCATTTCTAAGTTTATCACGGAGAGACGCCCCAAGCATAGCACTATCTATAGCTCGCTGAGCGACCTTGAGCTTCCTCATACGGCCAGCAGTGAAGGACCACGTCTAGCTAGCGTCTAAATAGCGTGTAATGTACTATTTTTGACGGAATTCTGTTATTACGCGGATGTTTTTTTTATCTATGCGACTATTATCCTTATTATTGATTATATTTACTGTTCACAAATCTACACCGACTCTAGAAGCTATTTTTAAGTACACTTCGCAATATTGATTGACTCCGTCTGCCAGTAAATTCCTATCGTTTATGTGTGTATTTTTGGACTTAATATAACAATGAGTTTAGTTGGAAACAGGAAGGTAACGCTATGTAAAAAAGTATGCGAAGATTTGTATAGTGTGTTATGAACGGCCCCTTTTCATACAACGCTAATAATATGTTAAATTTGTACTGTTATCGTTCACGTTTGATACTTGCAAACGTGCCTGACACGCGTGCCGCTACAGGTTCATTGTGATCAAACACTGCTGCCTCTCACTAGGAGCTATTTTTATGTCCAATTCTGGGGTGGTCTAAAAAGGCCTGATGAGATAATTTTATTCTTATATATTTAGAGAAAATTTTCAAAACTATACCGCGTTTCTAAAACCGAGAAAACTTTTTTAAACACAAAATTGGGTAATAATTACGTATTTGCGATATAAGTGTAAGCAAATAGGTGTAAATGTTGCATCGGTTCGCGCAATTTTGTATAATTAGCAGTGAGTTAGATTTTTGTTAGACTGTGGTTTAGAAGTTATTTCTCTGTTATTTTTGCTTATTCTTAAATTTAGTGTTTGTACGCCTATTTCTTGTATATAAATGCATTTTTCTTTTCTTCTTTTTTTCTTTATTTATCTTACCCCCTAGCTGCTACATTCTCTGAAAATTTCAACATCTAATCTTATAATATTTTAAACCGTGGCGGAACAAGAGAATCCATAACCTCATTTCGGCAAGAGAGTGTCGTAAGAGGCAACTATAGATAATGCCAGAGAAATCTTATGGTTTTCGATTAATGGCGGTATATCATCTAAACGATATCAAAATCTAATCGCTACATATCAAATACCCAGACCACAGTTCGAGGGTAATCTGTGACCCAGGCAGACGACGGGCATAATCGTCAAGGTCAAGTCTGGTACTGTGATTAACGATCATCCCAGGCGAAATAGTAATAAAGGAGAAGAAATATTAAACCGGACGAATAAAAATCCATTGCCATTTAATAATTCATAAACAATTATTTTATTTCATTAGTGTGACAGACTAGTTCAAACTGTTTTTTTTTAATTAAAGTAACAGACCAACTTACAGTCACCTCCATGGTAGTTAACTACTGCATTCCATGAAAACCAGTAACCAACTTAAAACAGAGAAGACTACAGATGCATTGTCGCCTCTGATGACTAAGACGGAACGCCTCAAAGCCAATAATTATACTGTGAATATATCCTTTAAATCGCCGATAAGACTGCATGTGAAGGAATAATCACTTGATGTAAACCATATTTTACCTATTTCCTTTTACTGACTGTCGCCGAAATAAGAAAGAATATCCGTTTATTATGGAAAGATATGTGGGAGAAGGTATCCAGTACGAAATACCTGTAAAGTTAAGTTGAAAAAAGCAAGTCATGACTATAAATATCTGCGAATGATAATTTAAAATTAAAAATTTTGTACAACCGACTTCAATATAAATTATCAAGAATAATTTAAAAACTATTGGTCAGACCTTAATCAAATTTATATTGGACCACATGCTTTCTTTCAAATGAAAAAAGAATCATCGAAATCGGTACACTCAGTAAAAAGTTATGAAGTTACACGCATTAAAAAAACAGACAGTCGAATTGAGTACCATCTCCTTTTTGAAGTTGTTAGAAAAAGAAATGAATAAATCAACTGCGGTTCGGTCACCATATAACTCTTGCTCACTTAGCTCGAATTAACATATTTTCCTCGAACTTTTGCCCACACTGTGATTAAGTTGGATCTATTCTTCCCCAAATCTATATCTTTCAGAAGAGAACACAGTAGTGCAAGCTCCGCTATTTTTTATAATAAAGGTAAAAAGGTGGGGTACCCAAACTAATGAACTATTAGTCAGAAAAGAAGTCCTACCAACTAGTTTAGTTCTGTTATAATAATAATAGCTAATTAAAAATCTTAATAATCAGGAACGATCTTCAGAACTTGTTAAAGGTATATAATATATTCACAGCACAGTTAAGTGTTAACAGACTAATTATTAACTTTATTATAGAATAAAGACAATATACGAATTTATAAAAAAATATATGTAATTAAACTGAATTATTTCCTAAGCACAACTTATTTTGAAATTGATGACCAATATGTACTACAGAAATACTCGTATGTTGTTACACTTATTTTATTGTAAATTAAATAAGATTTGACTAAAGCTCTGTTCTACTCTCAGTCTTGTCGCTTAGTCTAAAAGATTAATCCTGGTTCTTTTCTTTCTTATAAATCCAGTCTTCTATCTCCAAATAGTTCTGCAAATCGTCTTCTGTTGGTGGTTTATTATGATTTACATCTTTATTATAAATTCTACCCCAGACGCCAAATGCGACCAAATCAGTTTGAGGTGCGTTTAGTTTGTACGTTATGTGCTCTTTTCTTCCTTTCATATTTATTTCAACGCTGTTTCTAATAGAACTTCCAGCTTCTTGTTTAGAAGTTTCTTCGAAAGTAAAATTCTTCGGCCTTACTGGGAATTTGTTGTTTTTGAACGATGTTGGATAGTAAACGATATCGTCGCATTGGAGAGAGGTATTGTAGTGGAGACGATGTGTTGTCATCTCTATCACTAGTTCTTTTATTTCCACATTCTCTTCCGTTTTGTTGAATCTGAAATTTTAATGCACATCAAACATTGGCAGGCCGTGCGTAAGATAATCCGTCACCTCAAGAGGCGACTCTATACGTAAGACTGTAAGAACGCTTATTGAACTTTTTAACATTTTGTATGTTTTTGTCTCTAACTTTGTGTTTTGGTGTGTGCAATAAAGTATTGTCTATATATTTATCTATCTACAGGAAATGCCACAAAAATCACGGCGAAAATTGCTATAAATGACTTTCTAGTCATCTCTTTTACGTCAAGATTACGCTAAATTCAGGAACAATGACGGGCAGCAGTGACAAAGATGCGAGACGTCTGGTACTGCGATTGTCAATAGCAAAGTTTGATGAATAAGGCAATCCTTCTTGTAACGAAACTGTTCCTCCGTTTAGCGGTAGACTTTTACCAGCTGATGAAGAAGAAGAACCGTAATAGTTGATCGTTTAATTGCGGTATCCACTCCCGCATATCACCCCGTGGGTGACGTAAGAGTTAACAGGAGAAAACAAACCAGACGATGAGCGGCAACATCTTCCTATATATTATATCTCATACGTTTCCACTTTATTCACCTATTGTACCCAATAATTGTCCAGACCATCCAGAAACTAAGCTAGTATAATATATGTACATTTACGTAACTCTCTCAGTAATAAAAGAATGGCCTTCGCACAGCCGCGGGCCTGTATACAGGGTTATTTTGTAATAACCGTCCAAAGCAGAGAAGGTTCAGAATAAATAATATAAGCAAATGGTCAAGAAATTTAATTAAAAAAAAATCTCAAACAATCTGTCTTTTTATCAAAAGATATATTTTTAATTTCAAAATGTGTGTTAATGCATTATTTTAACAGATTTTACTGCGCACGTACATTCGTATACATTCGTAAGGGTCGTTCGGTAGGCAAATAAGTTGATTCCATATTATTATTATTATTACAGCCAGACACAAGTCCACTGCTGAACATAGGCCTCCCCCAAGGAAAGCCACAAAGCACGGTCCCGAGCCACCTGCACCCATTGACTTTCTACACGTCTTACCAGGTCGTCACTCAATCTAGCGTGGGGACGCCCTACACTTCGCCTGCAGGTACGAAGCTGCCACTCGAGAACCTTTCTTCCCCATCGGTTGTCAGTTCTTTAAGCTATATGACCGGCCCATTGTCACTTCAGCATACTAATTCTTTAGGCTATGTCGGTTACTCTGGTTCTACTGCAGATATCCTCATTTTTAAGTCTATCACCCAGAGAAACCCCGAGCATAGCCCTCTCCATAGCTCGCTGAGCGGCTTTGAGCTTCCTCATACGGCCAGCAGTGAAAGACCACGTCTCAGTTCCATAGGGCAGCACTGGTTGAACAATCTAGTTTTGAGGTATGTCTAACGAGAAGATGTGTCGTAATCTCCCGAACGCTGCCCAGCCGATTTGAATACGTCGATTGACCTCTCGGTCGAAGTTGGACTTACCTAGTCGGACTATTTGTCCCAGGTAAACATATTCGTCAACAACTTCGAGCTTAGTGCTCCCAACAACTACCGGTATAGGTGTGACATGGGCGTTAAACATGATTTTTGTTTTGTACATGTTCATCTTAAGACCTATCCGTTGGGAGACCATGAGAGATCATTGAGCATAGCGCTTAGGTACTCCAGCGATTCTGCCATAAGAACTATATCGTCGGCAAATCGAAAGTGAGTGGTTTACTCGCCATTGACGTCAATACCGTATCCTTTCCAGCCAGTAGCTTGAAAACGTCTTCCAATGCAGCGGTGAAGAGTTTCAGGGATATTACGTCACTCTGTTTTACACCTCTCTGCAGTTGAATAGCTTTCGTGCTCTGGTTCTGTATTCTTATAAGTTTTTGTACAATAGGGCTACGATAGCTATCCCGTCGTAGCCCTACTGTACAAAAATTTCAGCACTTCGATATACCGACAGTCCACTTGGCACCGTTGGAGGGCCTGCAGCACCGCCCAAATTTTGACGGAATCAAAAGGCTTTCTCATAGTCCACATACGCAAAAAAAGTGGCGATTGTACTCTTCGGTCTTCTGTATAACTTGCCGAAGGGTATGTATGTGGTCTATGGTGCTAAAGTCTTTTCGGAAACCGGCTTGTTCGGGAGGCTGGAAATCGTCGAGTCTACATGCGAGACGATTCGTAATGACTCTCGAAACCAGCACGTAGACGCGGCTTAGAAGGGAAATCGGTCTGTAGTTCTTCAAGAGAGCGTTGTCATCTTTCTTGAAGAACTAGACCACCGCACTTCTGCTCCCCACCTCCGGTGTAATGCCACCATGGAGGACGGAATTAAAGAGCTTCTGAAGGCCTTCAAGTACCGGTTTTCCACCCGCTTTCAGAAGCTCCGCTATAATTCCATCCTCGCTTGGGGCCTTGCCGTTTTTAAGGTGCTGGAGAGCCATTTTAATCTCGCTCTGACTTACGTCCGGGATATCTTCGTAATAGTGTCGGATAAGACTAGCTCTTGGATCGTTACTCACACTTGCGTGTGGCTCCAACGATGACGTGTACAGCTGCCCATAGAACCTTTCAATCTCACTCAAAATCTCAGGTGCCCGGGAAACGATGCTGCCACACTCGGTCTTCAGCTTTGACAGTTGGCTCTTTCTGGCAGACAGATCTCTGGCAATGACTTTGGAGACTGGTTCCGCTCGATCGCTTCTTCAATACAAGCTGTATTGAAGTTGCGTAAGTCTCGCCGCATGCATTTGGAGATCTGTCTGTTCAGTTGCCTGTATTCTGTCAAATCTGTTGAAGAATGTAGCTTCATCTCCCGTCTAACAGCCATGAGATTGAGAGTGTGATCGGAGAGTTTTTGTGTTCTTCTGCGGCGGGTCTTGCAGAACTTAACTCCGACCGCATGGACAGTTTCCACGAGCTTGTCATTCATATCGTCCACTTCATTGCAGTCTTCTAGGCACTGAAAACTGTTTTGTAAGTCGAGCTGAAAGGTTTCGGGACTTTGGAACAGAGCACGAGGGGGACGGAGCTTTAACTTCATTAGACGAGACCTCTCCAACTTAACGTTTAGGTTCAGTGTGCCTCTAACCATTCGGTGATCGCTACCAGTTTTCACCCTCGCGATCACGAAGACATCACTGAACAGTTGTCGTCTGGTCGTCATAATGAAGTCAATCTCATTTTTTGTCGAACCGTCGGGGCTCGACCAGGTCCACCTGTGGGGCCGTTTCTGGAAAAAGAGTTCATCATAAAGAGTCCCTCTTTCTCCATAAAGTCGGCCAGCTGCTGGTCCCTTGGGTTCCGTTGCCCTATTCCAAATTTTCCTACCTTCAGCTCACCGTTTTCTCTTGTGTCTAGTTTTGCATTGAAGTCTCCCATTAACACGTATAACGGGTTTTGGAGGAATGCATGGCTCTAGAGACATCCTCATACATTTTCTCCACCTCCTCATCGGGATGTGCCGAGGTTGGTGCGTAAACCTGTATGACCTTCAGCGAATACCGTTTGATGATTTTGAATATAAGGTACGCAACCCTCGTTGACACACTCCCAATCTTCACCACGTTGTTAACGAGAGACTTATGGACGATAAATCATATACCTCCTTGGGACATATGGTCGCCCTCCCGGTGATAGAACAAGTTACCGGATTCGAGGATTACCGTGTCCTCCCCCTCTCTTCGGACTTCGGATAATCCTATAATATTCCAGCTCCAGGATCTTCTCGTCAGTCCTTACGTTACAGGTGCGTACGTTATAAGTTGCCAGGTCGAGTCATCGTAGGTGGCAACCAAACCTCCACCGGAGATTCTTAGCACCCCCTAGCCCGCCGTTACCATGGTCTCCACCGTAGCCAGGAATAGCGGGGCCGCCGGGGCCCGCCATTCCTGGCTACGGGTGCTCATGGGGGCATGGGGGCAACTATGGCATATTGTCATAGTTGCCACGCTTGGCGAGCGGGTTGGCAACCGCAGTTTTTTATTGCTTTTGCTGTTATCAAAAAGATTCTGCTGCCCATCTTCTGCCTCAGTTTCCGTCTGTCGCCTTTCATGACACCCACGGGAAGATATGGGGTAGTGGGTATTCTTACCCGCCACTACACGGGGCCCATAAATCACATTCAATTGGGTATAATTTCAAATAAAAATATCCGGCTTGATAGGAGATACGTCCTTTCCGAGGCACAGGTGTAAAACACCGCCATCTTCCTGACTCCGGATTGCTACTGACAATTTCTATGCAGAAAAAAACAATAATTGATATTGATGCAACCAGGGATTCGAATCCGGGCTCTCATGAACGACTAGATCAACGAGGCAATCAAAGTATATTATATAAGCCGAATCTAACAAAAATGTAATACCTGAATGGACAACTCTTGACGCTCTCATTTTTACATGCAATCACTGAGCAAGCAGCCACCCCCAAGTCACGTCGAGAGTACGTGTTGATGCTATCCTTGACGAAAGCCCTATAATGTGGACCCTAAAATTTTATAAAATATTTAAAAAGAATACAAATACCTAAAATTGAAAAATCACACAAATGTAAAATTAAAAAAAAAAGTGGCAATATTAAACTGAAATTTTAAAAAAATGTAAAATTTAAGAGAAAAGATTTATATAATATTTAAAGACAAAAATGTAAGAATACTTACCTTTACATTATAGTTATATTTCATAGATGATCTTGACATGCAACTATAATTTATAACTACATAATAGAGTAGGTAGGTATTATATCGTTAATAGATTAGTACTCATGCTAAGTCTAACATACAAATGATCTAGCAAAAAATGTACCAAAACTATAGATATAAATTAAATTACGATATAAGTATTTGTAAATAATGCAGGATGACACAGATCTTCACCTCACCCGACCTCCAACAGACTTACTTGTGTATTAAAAACCAGAGTAAAAACCAGAATTAATGAATTGTAATTTGAATGAATTGGTTAAAAAAAATAAGTGCACATTTAAAAATTACCGAAATACATTCAAGATGCCATAAAAAATGAAATCATGCTATCATATTTAAAAAATACTGTTAACAGAACTCACTTGTTCTCCAGTCCTCTGTTGAAGCTTAACCCTGAACATGCAGGAGACCTCTTTGTCCGTAAGAATAAACTCCTGGGAACCTTCTACCAAAGGACGGCTAACATGCGACGGTAATGATGGATCACTGATCAACACTAAACTATCGAGAGACCTAGGATCGTCGCTTATTGGACCTGGATACGATTCTTTAACCTGTAATGGAATTCAACCTCTAATATTATCATTTTAATCTTAATTATTTAAATAGATTAAGTAGAAAAATCCAAATTAATTTTATAAAAGTTCTCATAAAAAGTATGGCTGATCGGTATTTTTTGGCTATAGAATTCTGCATCACTGACTCGAACTTAGCTATACGAAGTCCTATACTTTCTTATCTGCAATTGCATTCATCTACAAAATTTCTTTGTAACATAGATGTGGCAGCTCTGGACTCTAGTTGAGATAGATGTCCTTGACTTTAGAATTTTCAGAACAACTGCTAGCTCAAACAGCGTTAACTATATAAAATATTAATCTTCGCAAATAACTTTATAATACAGCTCTGATAGCTCTAGACTCTACGGCCAACTTACTCCTATTCAAAGATAAAATTGAGTTTAAACTCAAATTCTACACTTCTTGTCTTCAACTTTGCTATTGTAAAGTTTAAACTCGAAATTGCTTCTGAATACCGGGCATTAATAAAATAAATGTTCTTGACTTTAAAATTTGCCAAACATTTTACAAAAATCGTCACTTTAATTGGTGACTCAGATTGTTAGAGCACGTTGTAAATTTCACAGTACGCGAGAAACCCGGGTTCAATCCCCGACGACACCAATGAAATTGTTAATTGCAATTTTAAGTGCTGATTTTCCACGTGCTCGGAGGTGGAAAACATCGTGAGGAAACTTGCATGCCTGAGAAATAAAAAAGAAATTCTAAGACATTTTAATGGGGCAGGGCGGCGAAATTTCCTTGGCCTAAAACCCTCTCAGGAATAAGGGCAAGCCTGTGTCCAGCAGTGGGACTTATATAGGCTTATATAGGACTTATATAGACTTTAATTATATAAACCTAGTCCTATACTTTTTATACCTGGTAGAGCCATGCTGCAGCTATATTATGGTTGTAGCACGAATGGGTCAGCTCGACCGGGGCAGGACTACGCTCTCACAGTATACTAGCGTAAAACAGCAGCTTAACGATGCTGTGTTTCATGTGGTGAGTGTAGAGAACCGGAGACCCTTTTTACTGGAAACGAGGCTTTCCATCTTAGTCCTCACGGGTGACAACGCATATGCATTTTGATTCGTAATCGAAGATAGATGTGGGTGTCTATGGGCCACAGCAACCACTTACCAACAGGTGGACTGTGTGCTCGTTTGTCACCCTTATCCTATTAAAAAAAATCAGCATTTTCTTCTCCATCAACCCGTTAGAGTCGACTGCTGGATTGGGTATCTTCCGTTGTAGGGAGGAGTTGCCTTTCGTTACACTTGACGTTGACACAGACAGATTGACCATAGCAGTATAGACGTCTCGCACCATAGATAATCTCGCATCTTTAGTGATGCTGTCTGTCGTTGGTCTGGTTATAGCTCCATCTATCGGCAGATTTTTTTAAATTTTTTTATTGTTTATTATTCCAAAATACATTCGGTTATTTCTTACACTACTTATATGTAAAATGTTGCCTCTTACGACACCCACTGGACTAAAATAGGATGATAGATCCTTCTACGCCACTACCGAAAGGCG